TAACAGAGACATGGCAGGGGATATCACAATCCCCAACTTGAAACTATATTACAAAGCTACTGTGATAAAAACAGCATAGTACTGGCAAAGAAACAGACCTGAGGACCAGTGGAACAGGTTAGAAGATGCAGAAACAACTCCAGACATACTCAGCCCCCTCATCTTTGACAAAGGAGCCAAACACCCTCACTGTAGGAAAGGTAGCCTATTTAATAAATGGTGCTGGAAAAATTGGGTTTCAACTTGCCAAAGATTAAAACTGGACCTATATCTCTCATCATGCACTCAACTAAAATTGAAATGGATTAAGGATCTAAATATTAAAATAGAAACACAAATGCCTGGAACAGAGGTTAGGTAGAACTCTTGAAGACATTAAATGTGGAAGTTTTAAAAAGATGATTTCATAAAAGTTGAGTAGAATAGTGATTAACAGAATATGGGAAAGATGGGGGAAAGAAAGGATAGAAAGAAGATGGTTAATAGATACACAGTTGCAGTTGGATAGGAAAAATAACTTTTGATGTTCTATAGCTCAGTAGGATGATGATGGACAACAATCAATTGTACATTTTGAAATGGATAGTAGAGAGAGTTTTGAATGTTCCTAAGATGTTATGGCTATGCCTGTTACCTTGATCTGATCATTACTTATTGTATACAGTATTGAAATGTCACATCGTATCCCATAATTATATATAATTATCACATGTCAATTTTAATTCTAATAACTCAAAATAAAGTTAAAAATCAATGCCAGATGGATTGTAGATCACATGGAAAAGTAAAAACAATAAAGCATCCAACAGATAATATAGGAGAGTAATTTTGTAAATTCTAGACCTGAAAAGATTTAACAAGATACCCAAAGCACTTGTCATTAAAAAATTGAAAAAACTGACTAATTAAACTTAACAACTTGTGTTCATTAAAATGTACCCATAAGAGAAAGAAAACTCAAGCCCCAAAGTGGAATATTTTACCACAACTAGAGGTTTTCTATGTGTTGTGTAGCTGTATAAATTCAGAATATGTAAAGAATTCTAACAAACTATCAAGTCAAAAAGAAGACACAAATATGTAACAATGCAAAATGGGGAGCACATCTGAGCAGCACCCTACAAAAGAGAAATTCTTTTTTTACTTATATATTTATTGCTACATTTTGGGTATAAAATACATTTACATTTATCATTGGGTGTTTGTACCTGAACATGATGTATCTTAGTTCTTATTTTTTCTGCCGTTACCTGTACACCCTTCACCCCCTCCACCCTTCCCTCTTTACACAGACTTTGATTCCATTTTTTTTCTTTCTCATAATTTTTTGTTTCCCTTCTTCCCTTTCTCCTTCCCCTGCCACCACCCCCAAACCCTTGGACCTTTTCCTATTTCAAATTATCGATTATTCATTTTAATCATTTTCATCCTTATTTACACTTTCAGTTTCTCACACTAGAGAAACTATTTAGTATTTACACATGTGTGTCCTATTTATTTCACTTAAGAGTATGGCCTCGATATGCATTCATTTAGCTATAAATGTCTCTAGTTTCTCATTATTTATGG